TACCCTCTGCTGTGTTCCATGCAGAGGCCGCCTTGAACCTGCTCTCAGCCCGCACGTGGGCGGGGTTATGGCCCCCCCACCCCGACATGTGACGATGTGATGGAGTCTGCAAAGAGCTCGGAACCGTCGCAGCTGCCAGCCTGCAGCCCAGAGCGGGCCGGCACGTGGGAGGCGGGAGCCCACAGGGCACGTAGCAGAGCCGGCAAAGATGGGCGGCTCGGGCCCCGCCAGTGCCACCCCAGCCTCCCCTCCGTTGCGAGCCTCCTGCCCCCCACGTTTCTAAACCCCAACCCCAGGCCACCCCAAGCCGCCTGGATGGCAAGTCCCGTCTTGCGACTTTTATGTGAAAATGAGAAATCCAGTTTGTCAACAGGCTGGAGTCCTTTCATCCCAGCCTCTGCTCCTTAATTGGACGGGGGAGCTGGTTCCTTTGTGCATCTCTGGGGGTGGGGGAGGGAATTGCTCAAACTTCCTCCGGCCGAATGAGAAATAAGACTTCAGTTTTTGCCAAAACTTGTTGTGTGAGCCGCCAGGGACGATGCATCCGGAAATCTGTGATGAAGAAACTTTAGGGGGGAAGAAAAGGAAAAAAAATCAAAGGAAGGTTTGGGGAAAAGAGGCCAGGGGTTTTCCTCTGGTTTCTCCCTGCGAGCCGCACTCCTCCCGCCGGCCCGCCCTGTAATCTTCTTGATTAGTTCTGCTGGAGGGCAGCGTCCAGGAGACCGCCCACTGGAGCGGGGCGGGAGGGGCTGAAAAGTGAGCCAGACGCGGGTTTGCTGGGGGGTCGAGCGTGGCAGAGGCGGGCTTGGACGCCCTGTTGGAGACCGCCTTGTCCCCCGATCGTGATTTCCCGGGGGGCAAACCTGTGTCTGGGGTGGCTTTGGGGGTGGACAGGAGTTCCAGCTTGTGGGTCCAGAGGCTGCATCTGCCCGTTCCTTCCCAGCTGGACCTTTGTGGAGGGAGGACAGGGCCCTGGGAGCTGTCGGTCGCTGAGCAGAGTCACGGTTGGGGCGGAACGGGGCTTTGTCTGCATCACTCTGCTGTCCCGGCTGGACACAAACCTGGAGGCTTAAAACAACACAGCTTTATTCTCCTCTGGAAGAGGCCTGACCCAAGTCATGCCGGGCGGATTGCAAGGTGTCGGGGTGTCGGCAGGGCTGCACACCTCCAGAAGGCTGCCACGGGGAGAGCCAGGCCTTTCCCAGATCTAGAAGCCACGGCCCGCATTGCTAAGCTTTCGATGCCTTCCTGGAATCACTCTGACCTCCAGCAGTTGTCACCTCTGCTTCCTCCTCCGACCTTCCCGCCCATTTCATGAGCCCCCTACTCTGTGTGGCTTAATCCAGGGGACCCCCCCCATCCCTAACCTGCCCCGCCAGCACCGTCGCCTTCCCCATGGCCACAGGTTCTGGGATGAGCATGCGAACATCTTTGTGGGGAATCACAGGGTCAAAACCGAGACCCAAGCAGCCCACTAGAAAGGGGACGTTCCCTGCGTCTCCCATCAGCAAGAACTTCCTCCTGACCTGCTCCCTTAGCGCCTACCGTGGCGCGTCCTGGATTTCAGGCCGGCCCTGGGCACCGGGGGCCGAGGGGCGGCGGAGAGGCTGTCTCGCAGAGTCGAGCTGTCAGGGAATAATCCCAAACAAGCTGTCAGGGAATAACCCCAAACAAACACTCTTCATCAAGGATCCCGCAAGGAAAGACTTCGGCCAAACAAGAGATGGGGCCTTAGAAATGGCGTCAGTGTGACTACCAGAGGTAAGGGCCCCCACTTTGACTGGAGCTGCCTGGAAAACAGCAGTTTTCTTGAGGATTTAAAAAAAAAAAAAAAAACCTGCACACAGACCCTAGGAGCTGGGAGAGGCAGAGGGGCCGCCGCGGCAGGAGCCCCTAATATGGGAGGTTTGAAGGGCGGCTCCCTACTGGGCCTTATGCTCCGAGGTGAGCGTCCTCCCCTGCTTTTCTAGAACATTCTCCATCGTCGTGGATACCAGGGCTGGCCTGGCCCGGGGGGTTCCCGGAGCCCCCCCCCTCCTCGCCCTCCTCCTCGGCCTGGCCCGAGCTCGCTTCCGGAGCGGACCTCAGGAACACCCACAGCCAAACGGACAAGAGGACAGACAGGCCTCAGGAAGGAAGGAGGGGCACCCCACCAGCCCGCCGCCTCAGCCCGCCGGGATCCAGGGCTTCTAAATAAACCGCGAGGTTATCCTGGGCTGACACCATTGTGCCTGGGATGTGGCACACAATGGGGGTGGATGGCATTGAAGCAAAATTCATCCTTTGCATTAGAAAGAGCAAGTAGCTCTTAGTAACCAATGTCAACACCGTATTTTCTTGCAGAAGTTGCCTGGGTTTTTCGGAAGAAACCCTGACATTCTGGATGGGCCCCGTTTCTTTCGGTGGTCACACACTCTGTGATCAGAGAAGTAAAAGTCAGCGTGGTCCCGAGGCTTCCTGCCTTAATAGACTGCGGTGGACTTCAGACAATGCGAGGCTCTGCTCTCCGCTGACCACCAGCCCGGGACAGGCCCCGCCCCCGCCCCCGACCCGGCATCCGGGGCCTGTTTCCAGGGGGAGAAAAGAGCAGCGCCCAGCGGAGGCCCCAGGGCCG